CCCCAAAACCCCAAAACCCCAAAACCCCACTAGTAAAAATACGGAAGTAATCATAAATTAGGATTTTAATTTATTCATATATTATCAGCAATATTTATAACGCTATTATTGACTGAATTTGAACCTTGTCCTCCCGTATGGTGATTATTTTACTATTACTGAGAGTGATAATTATTCTAATTATTGAGATTTACTATTTGCCCAGCATCTGATGGTCTCTTGATATTGAAATTTGCTATCTAGCTGCCACTGTTTTAAATCAAGTTTGAGGTTCCACCACCGATTCTAGTTACTGGATTTTAACTAGGATTTTAATTTCTCGACGATTAGTAGTTTGCATGACTTGAACTAACATTAGTTTAATGAGTTGTTGATTGAGATTCATCCTAAACTGACATCGATCCAGAGGGTATTCCATTACTGTTGGAGTTAGTTAAGCCTGCATTTTTCTTTAGCAAGCTAAGTTTCTTGTTTATGCTTAAGGGATTCTTAGGTATAGCTCTGTTTCCTCTTGTGGCAAAAACATCATTTTGACTGTTAGCTTGATTTTATTTTTAAAGCATCAAGAATTTCTACTTATTTTTACTCATTTCACTTGCAAAACTCTTTGTTTAGCCCGAATGAGTTGATTCATTGCCACCTGTCCCTGGTGGAGGTAATGAAGCATTCTATTAATTCATTTATTATTAAAGCAACTGATTTTAAAGTCCATTGTATGCAGCATTTACTCCCATCCCTATTCTTGAATTAGAATTGTTTCTATGCGACTAAAATGAAACATTAATCCCGCCATGATCTGAGTCGTAGTGAACTTCATTATTTTGAGAATTCAGGGTCTTCAGGATTTATTTCTTTTCACTAACAACATTATTTGTAGAATTTGGGGGTTTTGTCAGAAGGCTACCTGGAGGCTTAATCTTCGAATCATTATTGCTATAGTATGCATTTGTAGCATTAGCACTGTTGACTTTTAATTAGTTGGAATACCCCGAATAAGCTCCTGTGTCATCTCTCACTCCGTGATTCCTCACTCCGATAAGCTTACTCTTGTTGGTCATACTAATTGTGTTAGATACTGCCCTTTAATTAGGAGATACCCCTATTTAGCCAGCAAAACCTTGAGAGTATGGAGAGTCAGAAATATCAATTTTGTTTTTCACCATAGGATTTTCCAAAGGAGAACTAAACATATTTGGTATAAAGGATGAACTCTTGGTCATGTTTAATGATGGTAAAATTAATTCTCAAGACATTCTATCAATGTCTTACATGCTCAAAATTTCCATTCCGATATCTGCATAACTACTATTAGCTTAATTATTTTAAGTTCCTTGATTTGGCATGAAATTTGTCAAGCTTAATCCTAACTTATCTTTAATAATTCTATCTCTTAAACTCAGCTATTCCTTTAAATGCTAAATATAGTTATCTCTTTATCGTATGTGAAATTCAGCCCTATTTTCTTTTCTCTTAATGTCAATTTGCTTTAGATTCAGTAAATGCTAATTATACAAAACATCAATTGCTTCTATTTCGTATTAGATCATTTCCTGCTGATAGCTCTCAAGCATTTTCGTTCTAAAATCTTCTAAATCTGTGAGTCTCTGATTCAAGATAGCTTTCTAAGTATGATTACCCTCAATCTCGGCCTTTAGTTGTTTTATCTCTTATTCAACTTAATGAATTGCTTATGGATCTTTGTTTTTATTTTTTGTTAGATTCAATTGCTTACTAAACAGCTTAAAAGCTAAATCCTCATTTTTCATGTCAAGCTCATAAATCTCTTTCTTAATAATCACCTCTTTTTCAAATTGCATGTTCATTTCAATCTTCATTGACTTTAACTTATTTTAAGCTACTTAGCTTTGGCTTTTTTGTATGCTCCCATGATTGTTTTAAACAGCGAGATTGCTCATTTAGGGCTTACTTTGACCACCGGTTCCTGATAATTATCCTCTTAGATTTACTATTTCTTCTCTCAGTTAATTGATGATTTTGGTGTAATTAGAGATGTGGAATTCTACATTCAATACATTTCTCTTTACAATTGTTTTTATTTACTTAGCTCTATCTGCATATTTAAGAGTGTTCAAGGTATCTTCATATGCTGAGAAAGCCGGGCTTATATTAGCAATCATTACTGTGCGACAGTTACCGCCTAATGAGTCTTTAAGTAATCTGGTTAGCTTTGAATCTCTGTAAGGAATATGCTAGTTTTTTGCAGCAATTGGACCCATTTTAGTTTATTCGCACAAAGCATTTATACAATTTCCCAGCGCCAATAAACTCTTATTGATGTTTGCTCCTTCAACTAACCTAATACCTCTGTTATTTGTATTTGCTGCTCTTTCTGATCCAGCAAGATCAATTAAAGAGAGTTTTGCTATATTTATTTCAGCATTTATACCATGAGCCTTATCCTTGTGTTCGACTGTTATTTAAAGCACTGCATGCGATCTTGAACTAGCCTCGTTAGCATCAGTCCTTTCCTTTGTTCTTTATCTATTGCCTTGTCTTATATATCTCATAATTTCATCTACATTAGTAGTCATAATTTCAGTTACACCTGCAACACAAATACCCTTGAGATTATCTTCTCTTAAGTCTAAATAGTCGTTCCGATCATTAAGTAAATCTTTGATATTTTCATTGTAAACCTCTACGTAAGAGATCTTGATTTTATAATCTCTCTCTGCTGTATAATTCTCAATTGTTACAAAAAGTTCATCAATTGAATTCATCATTACACCAGGATTTTCTTCAGTTCCTAACATAGTATAGGTTTTTCCAGCTCCTGTAGAACCATATGCAAATACTGATGCGTTATAACCTTGCATAATACCATCAATGAGAAATTTAGTAGTTCTTTCAAAAATATACTTTTGATCACAGTCCTCATCAAATGCATAGTCAAAAGCGTAGGTTTTTTCCTTTGGTCTTGCTAATCTAAATGCTTCTTCAGGTTTTGCTGCTGAAACGTCCTGGAGAATAATTATCTTTTCGTCTAAAATTTTCACTGATTTCACACTTTACTTTTGTTTTTCTTTCGTACTCAAGGGTCTGCATCTTACACCTACCTAGGAAAGAAATTTGTAAGTCACAATTATAGAATATTTGGCAGAAATATTTCTAATATGTATAACTTACCAGTATATTAGCGTTCCCTTTCTTCAAATCGACAATGTAATCGTCTGTAGGCTTATCCACAATCATATCGACATTTATTTAGCCGCTGTCTTCTATACTCTGAGACAAACTGTCGCCCTCTGTATGAAATTATTGCTACTATTACTGGTATTTCTAGTGATGAGATTAATGTCCACCTCCTCCATTGTTTACTCCGTTATAGTCTTATGCTCTTTTGTTTATATCTGAGATCCTAGGTGGTAGACCTTAGCCAGACGCTCCAACGTTAGAGGGTCTGTTATTATTGTTTTCAAGAATTGAATTAGCTGCAATTTATAAACTGCTTTGATTATGCTTCCTAGACCTAAGCACGTCTGTTACTTACATATTAGTTAATTATTAAAATTACCATTATAATCTTAAGTTTGATTGGTGATCCCTGAAGTCTGCTTAGGTTATTTTTTGAATCTTTCATTTTTAGAACTTCCTATCGAAATCAAAGGTCTCCCAATGTTATTATTGCTCATATTTTATGATTCAATTAAATTAATAAATTAACATCATTCTACATAATCATTCACTTATGGTTAAAGTTAACTATTCAAGCTATCAGAGAAAAATGCAGAGATGCAATGGAATTTAATCAGATCATTTTTCATTTTACATTGATCAGTTGAGGTATTTATATAAATTATGGTATCGACTCTCAAAAAATTTTCATATTCATATTTCTTTTTCTCACTGTAGCCAGGCATTTTTCTTAGGACTCTGATTTCCACCTGGACCACTATTTGACTTTCTCTTTAGACTTTGACTTTATGGCTAAGGCAAATTATTCGATGATTTTGGACCAAAAGTGTTATTGAGAAGCATATATACAGTTTTTTGTTGCATTTTTTATTGATATGTGTTCACTGATGGAGACTTGGATCTCTTTTTAAAAGCTGGCTTAATGCTATTGTTTAGGTTGGGCTAACCATTATTAAGACTCATATTCTGTATAATAAGACCATTAGTATTATTCATCTTTTGGGTGTTATTCTAGATTTCACCTTAGTGTATAATGTTGTTACTGGGTGAAGATGGCATTGGAGTTTGAGCCCTTCTTTAAAGTTTATTGATCTATTATTACATTATCTGCTGCGAAGATTAATTTGATTGACTTTGCGGCATGTATTCATTAGATTTTCTAAGTCTTCTATTTCTATTCAAACTTCCTCGATCTTATATTGATTGGGTCTTTAGTTGATTTTAACCCTAAGCGCTTGAGGGTCTATTTAACTCGGTTAAGCCTTATCCATTTGAATTGCTATTTGACATTATTTATTTCTTTCCAATATTGATGGGATCTTATGATTGCGAAAGTGGAGCAACTAGCTATGCTGAGCTCTTTATCTAAAATTTCTTAGCTTATGACATCCAAAATTATTGAGAATTTTACATCGCTGCTAGACTTTCTTTTTAGAGTTACCTTAAAACTTATTTGAAATCTTTTCTACTATTTGAATTACCTTTTGTTGTTAATGATGAAGTTTATGGTCTTTAATTCATGCTCTTAAATTATTCAGTTGCATTAGTAGATAGTATAAATGGATTTGCCAACTACTATGCAATCAGATGATCACTAAGCTAATTTTTGCGATGAGAATTTGGTATAGATGCTCCAACTGATGCAGCGATAGGTCCTTAATTTGCAAGGTTTTACTTAATTTATTGAGCCATTTACATAGAGCCAGAGTTAGCTCTCTTGTGATGATGCTATCCTATCGGTGCTTGAATTTTCTTGATTTCTACGTTATCTGGCAGCGCTTTTGGAATCTCAATTACTGAGGCATTTTAGATAAAGAAATTATTGATATTATTGTTGTTGATAATGTTTCCAGAGGATTTCTAGACTTACTGTGGTACATTCTATGCAGAGCTAGATGTAATTGTAATTGGCTTCCCACCCTCTGTTGTCATTCTATTTAAGGTCTCCTAAATTTTCTTAATGTCTAATCCTACAGTCACCTTTGAGTTTTCTTAAAGAGCTTACTTGGCTTTCTCTAACAATTCTTTCTTCAGGACGTTAGTATTACTCATTTTCAAGGGAGATTTGTCTAGTTTAGTTCTTTTGGCTGATTGGTCAGTATCTTTGTTAAAGTTGAAATTGCCCATTATCATCTTATTTTTTGGAGAAGTAGCATTCCAAGCAATCTTTGCCTTGAATTTGTCTCTCTTCTCCTTTTCTTCCTGTTCTTTATCAACAATCTTCTTAATTGAGGATGATCTTTTAGGTGCAGAATGCTTGAGTGATCCGAGTTATTAGGTGTTATTTAACAGATTATTATCTTCGGCTATTAAAGATCTAGGAGTGCCAGATAATATATCAGAATTTTCATTTTTTTTGCTGTTCATTAACAAAGGAGTTACTGGCCTTTTTCTTTGCTATTTAGCCTTTGGATCTTTCTTATCTTCTTATATTGATTAATTCTAAGTTTTACTAGTTGGTGTGAGCTCTCCAGTATTTATAGGCTTTTCCTCTAACTTTTTATCTTCACCCTCTTCTTTCTTTTTCTTCAATATTGTCTTTCCTTGAAATTCTTTTTTGTGATTATCAACCTTAAAAATCTAATTCTCTTCTTTATTAATTAAGTCATCATCAGAATTCTCTCTTATCAGCTAGTGTTTTTATGCTTCCTCATAGTTGTCACCCCATTTTAGCTTAGCTCTGGATCTTGCACTCTATTAGATGCTAGTAAGCACATCCTCTTTCCACTATTAAAGATAATTTACAGGTTGCATCTAAGCATTAATGAATGTGTTTCTTAGTAAAAGTTCCTCATTTGTTGAAGTCAAGGTAATGGCCTCTTTAATATGATCGGCATAAATTTCATCCCATCTATCTGTCCTTATTGGATATTATTCCCTAGTCCTTCTCTCCCAGGCAGAAAGTTGCTGTAAGAAGCTAGCTCTTATCTCAAGATTAGGTCTTCTTGAGTTGACAAATTCTAATGATTTTAGTAATGTCCACTTGAATTTTATCATCAGGTAAATTGACAGAACACAACATGCTCGAGATTATCCTCTGACTGAATGCACTAATACTCCGTTAGCTTCATTATTTGCTTCCTCAATGAAATCATAAATTTCCTTTGCAACTTAATCATTGTCATCAAATATTAGCTATATATATTATAATAAAAGTATATACCTGTCTGTCGTCATCCAACCAATAGAATGTTAGGTATTTGACTCCAACAGGCGTCCATTAATTGAAAATCTGTCTACCTGCACAGTTGATGATATGAGTGACCTTATTAGCAATTACAAACTCCAAGTCCTTTAACCCTCACAATAAATTAAAACTGCCGTTAAAGACAATTAAGAGTATATCTTACTTATGAAGCAAATTCATCACCAAGGAAAAGACCATCTCTCACTTTAACTGCTCCTAAAATCTCGATTTATTATAACAATTGTTGTTATTGTTATTATTGCTATTATGAAGCATTTGCCGATTGAGTTTTTTCTTAATTTGCAGTAGATTGCTTGGTGGGAGGTGTTGCAATTATATTTACTTTGGGTGTTTTGCCTTCTTTAGATTTGTTTTCTGGTGACTTTTATTCTTCAACCATCTCATCCAAATACTCTGATTCATGGGATGATAACTTTTTTATTTCTTCCATTAAAGGCCTTAATTATATATTCTTGACTTAATAAAATTTACTTAAATTTAAAATGAAACAAAAATTAATCTATCTTTCACTATTTATTGCTATCCTGGCTATAATTGCTTAGATCTACTTAATCTATTAAGATCAGATAGTTCATAGGTTAAGACAACTTCTAGGAATTAAGAACTTGAAGGAATTTCTGGTAGATTATGAACTAAATAGAGAAAAAGACCTTCCGATGAGTATCGGGATAATAGATGCTTAAAATACCACTAATCAATATTTCTACTACAATTACATAGGAGGCTACTTTCCTGTGATACTTAAAGACTATTTAAAAAACTATACTGATTAAGAAGAGATAGATAAATCAATGCTGAATGATCAGAATCTAGAGTAAGTTTTAAGCAGGAGACTCCCTCCAATTATGGAGAAAAATCTATAGTACAATAATGTCACATAGTTAATCAAAATGTAACCTGGGTAGAGGACTAGAACATTTTATCTCAGAGATGAATAGTTGATTTGCTCGGTCAAAGGTGACTTAGAAGTCAAACTACTAACATCCTACTAATCGATATTGATAAAGAATGATTATTATGCTTAAGGAGAAGAATCTCCAGTAAATGAATCAGACATTGATATGTTCGATATTGATGAATCAAGATATCCTGATTCAAATATGGCTTTTATTTATCCACTACTACTCAACGAGGGAGACTGTCTATATCTGCCAGCATACTGGTGGTAATAAATCGAAGGAGATT